CTCTTACCTGTTACAACACCTGGTCTCCTCCTCTTACCTGTCATAACACCTGGTCTCCTCCTCTTACCTGTCACAACACCTGGTCTCCTTCTCTTACCTGTTACAACACCTGGTCTCCTCCTCTTACCTGTCATAACACCTGGTCTCCTCCTCTTACCTGTCATAACACCTGGTCTCCTCATCTTACCTGTCATAACACCTGGTCTCCTCATCTTACCTGACACAACACCTGGTCTCCTCCTCTTAACTGGAGATCAAAGAACGTGTGTAACTAGAATATCAGTGTGATTAAGAGGCTGGGTATCAAGGGACTGGGTATAATGGGACTGGGTATCATGGGGTCTGGGTATCAAGGGGCTGGGTATCAAGGGGCTGGGCATCATGGGGCTGGGTATCATGGGGCTAGGTATCATGGGGGCTGGATATCAAGGGGCTGGGTATCATAGGGGTCTGGATATCAAGGGGCTGGGTATCATGGGACTGGGTATCATGGGGTCCTGGATATCAGGGCTGCAGGTATCACGAAAAGATCAGAAATATACACATGTAGAAATCAATAAGTAAATGATTCAGGATGTGGGCGGGAGGAAAGGAGGAGAAGGAGGAAGAGGAAGGAGGAGCAGCAGGGCGTGACTCATAGCCTGATCTGCCTGGCCTTGGACACTACGAAGAGAGAGAGAGAGAGAGAGAGAGAGAGAGAGAGAGAGAGAGGTGATGGTGATGACTAAGCACAGGTGTCAATATCATCATCTATCTACCTGAAATTATTGACATCACCTCCGTGCCTCACTCACCCCAGATATCCCCTCCACTCCCCCACCTTCCTCTCCCCCTCTCCACCTCCTTTCCCCTCCCCTTTCTCTCCCCCACACCTGGACGCACCACCGCCTGGCCATACTAGACTGAAATTGTTTATTTAGAAAGAAAATTTATCCCCTTGAAGGCATCGTATTCAACAGACTAAGTCATCATATTCAAGGGGTTAAAACATCGTACTCAGGGGGTTAAGTCATGGTACTCAAGTCACCGTAATCACTGGGCTGAATCACTGTACTCAAAGTGTTGGCAAGTGTTGATGTGGTTAAAGGTGTTTTGTGTGAGTTATTCTTTGGTTTGGTTGAAGGAGTATCTCTGAGGCTGAATTAAATGCCTTATCAGCTGACCTTAATAAACATTCTTTCCCTGTTATTGTGTTTATTATTATTATTGGTGTTGTTATAGTTGTTATTGTTGTTGTCGTAATTGTTAGTGGTGGGGGTGTTGGTGTTGTTAAGTTGAATCTCCATTGAATATTGGGGGGGGTGGGGAGAGGATTGTAATAACGGGGTCCACTTGTTGTTGCGGTCATAATGTCGGGGTCATGAGAAAGCCTCGGGAAATTCATTGAGCTCTCCCCCACACCTGGACGCACCACCGCCTGGCCATACTAGACTGAAATTGTTTATTTAGAAAGAAAATTTATCCCCTTGAAGGCATCGTATTCAACAGACTAAGTCATCATATTCAAGGGGTTAAAACATCGTACTCAGGGGGTTAAGTCATGGTACTCAAGTCACCGTAATCACTGGGCTGAATCACTGTACTCAAAGTGTTGGCAAGTGTTGATGTGGTTAAAGGTGTTTTGTGTGAGTTATTCTTTGGTTTGGTTGAAGGAGTATCTCTGAGGCTGAATTAAATGCCTTATCAGCTGACCTTAATAAACATTCTTTCCCTGTTATTGTGTTTATTATTATTATTGGTGTTGTTATAGTTGTTATTGTTGTTGTCGTAATTGTTAGTGGTGGGGGTGTTGGTGTTGTTAAGTTGAATCTCCATTGAATATTGGGGGGGGTGGGGAGAGGATTGTAATAACGGGGTCCACTTGTTGTTGCGGTCATAATGTCGGGGTCATGAGAAAGCCTCGGGAAATTCATTGAGTTTCGTGTGAAGGGAAGGGAAGGAAGGAAGGAGAGGTTAAGGGAGGGATAGAAGGAAGAAGAAAGGACGATATGAAGGATAGAGGGACACACACACACACACACACACACACCGACAGAGACATGATACAGTAATTTATTGGGTTAGGTGTCAATAAGGGAAACAGGGCTTAAAGGATGACAAGGGAGAAAGGGCTGAGGTGTTGTCACGTGTTGACCTCTGGTGGGTTATAAGGTCATCTGAGGTCACGAGGCTTACCTAATGTTGTGGGGGGGTTAAACTCTCTCCCCCCCTCTCCTGTTTGTCTGTTTATAACGGCTGCTGATCATGATGATAATGGTGGGAGAGCTGGTGGCGAGGTGGGGGTAATTGGTGGCTGGGGAGGGGGTCTAACCTAACCAAAGCTAACCTATCATAACCTAACCTAACCTAACCAAAGCTAACCTATCATAACCTCGGGTGATTTTGGTTAGGTTAGTTTTAGTTAATTCGCGTCCCCTGATATATAAAATAAAAAACAAATGATTTTTCGATATTATCCCGGAGTAATTTAATAAAGCACAAATATTTTTTACTATTCACTCTTAAGGGTCCAGCCAACAACGGACTCAGAATAGCAGTAACGAGAGAGTTATTGAGTCATTAGGGAATAGCAGTTAATAGCGACATTATATACGGTAGCTTTCATATTGTTTGTGTCTGTCTGTGTCTGTCTCTGTCTGTATTTACCTTTGTAGTTGTGTCTGTGTTTGGTCTGTGATGTTTCGTGTGTGTGTGTGTTTTGATCCCCATTTCACGACTACCACAATATGTTCGACTTCATGCACAGTGGTTTAGGAATGCTTGTTTTTAATAGATAATTTTACTGTCGCCAAGCACTCACGTCGACAACAGAAGACAAAGCCAACTAATCATAACAATTATTAAGCGAATTCTTTATGAGTGTTTTTCATTGTTTTCGTCACCGCATTCAACATCAGACAAACTGTAATATCTGATGAAATATATCCATTATGTTAACAGAGAGGGTCATAAAAAATATTATACCCTATAGTTCTATTTATTGAATTTATCCTATTGTTGTTTGAGGTTTTATTTTTTTAAAGCACCAATGAACGCTAAGGAAGGAGGAGTCATTTTGGATTAATATTTTCATCAATTATCTAAGAATGTCGAGTTAGTTCATACCATCATATTAACTTTAATATATACTCGATGGAATATATATTATTAACTCATCGATGAAAGCGGATTGAAAAAAACCGGTCCATCGTACTCAAGGGGTGAAGCCATCGTACTCAAGAGATTAAGCCATCGTACTCAAGGGATTAAGCCATCGTACTCAAGGGATTAAGCCATCGTACTCAAGGGATTAAACCATCGTACTCAAGGGATTAAACCATCGTACTCAAGAGATTAAGCCATCGTACTCAAGGGATTAAGCCATCGTACTCAAGGGATTAAACCATCGTACTCAAGGGATTAAACCATCGTACTCAAGAGGTTTAAGAAATTTATCATTCTTGCTAATAAGGTTAAGTGAACTGACTGACTCCAACCTGGATATTAGCGTTGAACTTGCAGGGGTCACTGTTACATTACACACCAATAGCGGCACCCATTAACAAAGACATGAAGAATAATAATACCATAAAAGCCGCTGTAACTGTAAAGACTGTAACAATAGAAACAGCTGTAGCACCACATTACAGCAGTAACAGCAGCAGTAAAAATAACAGCACCGGGTAACAAGTATATAACAGTAAAATAAGTTGTAGGAATCGACGTAGTGTGTGGGTGTATGTGTGTTGTGGGGTAAGTATGTGTGTGTGTGGGTGTATGTGTGTTGTGGGGTAAGTATGTGTGTGTGTGGGTGTATGTGTGTTGTGGGGTAAGTATGTGTGTGTGTGGGGTGCATGTGTTGTGGGGCATGTGTGTGTGTGTGTGCATGTAAAAGGGGTAAGTATGTGTGTGTGGGGTATGTGTGTTAGGGGTAAGTATGTGTGTGTGGGGTGTATGTGTCAGGGGGCATGTGTGTGTGGGTGCATGTGTGTGGGGTGTGTGGGGTGTATGTGTGTTGGGGGGCATGTATGTGTGTGGGGTGCATGTGTGTGTTGTGGGGCATGTGTGTGTGTGGGGTGTATGTGTGTTGGGCAAGTATGTGTTAGGGTATGTATGTGTGTGTGTGTATGTACAGGGGTAAGCATGTGTAAGTGTATGTGTGTTGTGGGGTAAGTATGTGTGTGTGTGTATGTGTGTTGTGGGCAAGTATGTGTGTGGGTGCATGTGTGTTGTGGGCAAGTATGTGTGTGGGTGTATGTGTGTTGTGGGGTAAGTATGTGTGTGTGTGGGTGTATGTGTGTTGTGGGGTAAGTATGTGTGTGTGTGGGTGTATGTGTGTTGTGGGGTAAGTATGTGTGTGTGGGGTGTATGTGTTGTGGGGTGCATGTGTGTTGTGGGGTAAGTATGTGTGTGTGTGTATGTATAGGGTACAGTGTGTGTGTGTGTGGGGTATGTGTGTTGTGGGGTAAGTATGTGTGTGTGTGGGTGTATGTGTGTTAGGCATGTGTGTAAGGTTTTACGAGTGTCTGTGGGTGGTTGTGTGTGTGGTTGTGGATGTGTGTGTGTAAGGTTGTGGGATGGGTGTGTGGGGTCTTCAAGGTTCCAAGGGGCGTAAATATTCTCCGTGTTTTCTTCTCTGTCCAGGTGTTAGATGTGTGTAATGTGTTGCCTTCCCTGGTCTCCGTTTTCCCCGTCGAGCTTCAGGTATTTGACGGGGAAACGTAATCGTGAGTCTTGGCCGTCGGTGCATGTGTACGTTCACCCAAAACGCGATAAATTTAACAAATAGATGTGGATATTAGTGATACGTAATGTATGGGTGTAAAATAGTAATATTTAAGTTTGTGTTAGATAATTAAGTAGTTTTCTATCATATTTTGGGGAGCTATGACCCGTTTTGTCTCTTAAACTACGGAGGATCTTGTACCCTAGCGGTGAATTTATGTACTATACAACAACACTAACAGCAGAATATGTCGTGACGTGTCTGGTATAATGAACCTGCGTTTTGTCTTCTTCAGAACAATGGCTCGACCCACCTGTCATCCTGACCTGACTTCGCTGCTGACGACTCTATTGGTGACCTCGCTCCTGCTTCAAGGTCAGTACACATTCCTCCTCTTGGGTCACTGCATACCGGCCCCCAGTCGTAACGCTTTGGGTCTTAAGTGTGTGTATATTTCCCCCAAGTCATGTTAGGGGTTATGAGTTCAAAGGTGTTACAATACTGTTTTTGGCGGTATGGGTGTGTGTCACGTTTTAGCTGTGGAAGGAATTAAGTTGTAGCTGTGAAAAGAGTCAAGTTGTAGCTTTAGATAAGAGTCTTAAGCTTTAGCTGTGGGTGAGGCTCATCAGGAAGGACGGAGTAAGTATTGTCGACCGCCAGCACCACAGTGAGGGCCGCCTGACCACAGTGGGGGCTGGCGGCATAACACTGACCCACATCATATCTTGTACCAGCCAGCCTCCTTCTTCTACTTCTCCTTTTCCTCCTTCTTGCTCCTCACTTTCCCTCTTTCTTTTCTTCCCCCTCCTTTTTCATCTTCTTTCCCCTTTCTCCTCTTCATTTTCCTCCTTCGCCTCTCTCTCCCCTCATTCACTCACTCATAGATGCTCTAGGACCAGGTGAAGGGAGCTGTGTATTGGCTGTGTGGTCAAAATCGATAAAAAATAAGATCCAAATCACATCAGGATTCCACCTTAACTAGATACGTTCACTTAACACCACTTAGGAGACAAAATCAAAGTACAGAATATTTTGAAATAGGCACTTTACCCCTGGTTCAAAAATTTACCTGGATTAAAGAAATTATGTTCCCCCCCTTAATACCGGTACAGGTGAGTTTGTTGTATTAGGTGTCGTTTAAAAAGGTCTCATTGTTAACAGGACACTCATAGATATATTATTAACGTCTCCTAATACACAAACACACTATCAACGTCACGAATACACGCATAAACAAAAATTAACATATATCATTCAAATACATTCCTGAAATGACCACTATAACACAACATCTTAAATTAATCAGTAAAATCGATTGTGTGTCGCCTAACTCAGCAACTAACACAGCTCTAGGTCATGAGCTGGGCGTGTATATTGAGGGGCCACCTGTTGTCGTTGACCAAGTGAGGACTGCGGTGGTGTTGTTGTGTCTGGTCTATTAGAGAGCTGCTGACTGTGTTGTGTTGTGTCTCTACGTCGCCAGAACTACCAATGACTGAAGCCTCATAAATCGCCTGGTCCAGACGAGGTATATGCTAGAATATTAAAAGAATGTAGAGATGAGTTGAGTAATCCATTAGCAGTTTTATTTAATAAGTCATTAGAATCAGGCCTAGTGCCAGAAGCTTGGAAACTTGCAAATGTAGTTCCGATTTTCATAAAAGGTGATAAATCAATTGCATCAAATTACCGTCCCATTAGTCTCACGTCAATCATAGGCAAGTTGCTAGAGTCAATTATTGCTACGAAAATCAGAAGCCACCTTGAAACATTCAACTTAATTCATTCTTCTCAGCACGGGTTCACCCAGGGACGTTCTTGTCTCACAAATTTGCTTAGCTTTTTCTCAGAAGTATATGAAGCGGTAGATAATGATAAGTCATATGATATAATTTACTTAGATTTCAGTAAAACATTCGATAGAGTCCCTCATGAGAGATTGATAAGGAAGGTAGAAGCACATGGAATAGGTGGATCATTATTAAAATGGATTAGGTCATGGTTAACTGGTAGGAAACAAAGAGTCAGCATAAATGGATTTAAGTCAGACTGGGGTGCGGTCAAAAGCGGAGTTCCCCAGGGATCTGTATTAGGCCCTCTGCTGTTTGTTATATTCATTAATGATCTTGATTTAGGTATAACTAGTAGGATTAGTAAATTTGCAGATGATACCAAAATGGGGAGAGTGATAAATTCAGACAGTGACTTTGAACACCTTCAAAGAGATCTAGATACCTTACATGAGTGGTCAGTAGACTGGCAAATGAATTTTAATGCTGATAAATGCAAGGTACTACAGATAGGGAAGACGAATACAAACGTTAAGTATAAACTAGGTAACACGGAAATAGAAAACTCAGATTGTGAAAAAGATCTAGGTGTATTTGTTAGCAACGACTTGAAACCTAGAAAACAATGTATTAGCGTTCGCAACAAGGCAAACAGGATTCTTGGGTTCATATCTAGGAGTGTGAGTAACAGAACTGCTGACGTTATCTTGAAACTTTACCTAGCATTAGTGAGGCCACACATGGATTATGCGGTTCAATTCTGGTGTCCTTATTATAGAATGGACATAGATTCTTTGGAGAGAGTACAAAGAAGAATGACAAAAATGATCCATAATATTAGAAACCTTCCATATGAAGAAAGACTGAAAAGCTTAGGCTTGCATTCATTAGAGAGGCGTAGAGTTAGGGGAGATATGATAGAGGTGTTCAAGTGGGTAAGCGGGATTAACAAGGGTAAAATGGAAGATGTTCTGAAGCTCAGTAATAACGAAATAACTAGAACAAATGGCTTTAAATTAGATAAATTCCGATTCAGAAAGGATATAGGCAAGCACTGGTTTGGTTATAGAGTTGTGGCTATGTGGAATAGGCTACCGAGTGCTATAGTAGGATCGGGGACGCTAGGGAGCTTCAAGACGAAGTTGGAAAGGCACATGGAAGTGCTGGGATGGGTGTGAAAGGGATCTGCCCTGTATGGGCCAGTCGGCCTCCTGCAGTATCCCACTTTCTTATGTTCTTAATGACACGAAGGTCTATTCTGGTCACCTACACAATAGGGTCTGGAGCCACGGAAGTTCCTATTACAAAGACTATTCCTCGTAATAGGAAATAAACATCCGCTGGCTTTGTTGTCTCTCCTTGGATTAATTTCCCTACGGTTTACCTTTATTTGTATACCTGCGCTATCTAGGTACATCAGAAATTGTATACCTGCAAAGGTCTACTGTATATGCACTGTACTGTATACCTGCATTGTCTATATACCGTACCTAAAAGATTATCTACTTCAAGTTTTATAATGTCCAGCGTTACATTGGTAGGTTAATGCGTAACATATGCAATACGCAACATAAATCTGAAATATCCGTAGCATTTTTTGTGTAGGTATAAAGTCCATTCAAGTAGCCATCGAGAACCATATTACAGGTATGAGGTTTTGCCAGCCTTGATTGACTTGATGTAACGCAGGTGTTTCTTATCTAACCGTTCATGAGGCGAGGGAGCGTTCGAGGTAGAAACCATTTTATTTATTTATTATTATTATTATTTAAAACACTGGATATATATATACATAGAGAGTGTTCTCCAGGGGGGGGACATGTTTTAAGAGCCAGGTGGGAACTATTGGTCATAAATTGGTGCCAGTGCCAATGGTGACTCATAGGCGCCAGTGGGGAGGAGGAGAAGAAAGGGGAGGGGATGAAGAGGCGGGAGAAGGGGAAGAATAGGAGAAAAAGGGAAGGGGTAGTAGATGGGGAAGAATAGGAGAGAAAGGGAAAGGGAGGTAGGAGAAGGGAAGGGGTGTTGAATGAGGGAAGAGGTGGCAGAAGGGGGAAGAAAAGATGAAGGTAAGGTAAAGGGAAGCATGGTTAGTGGCGTCAGTGGCAGAAGGAAGTGGCGTTGACCTCAATAGACGGAGTTCCTCGCCACCCCCCCTCCCGCCTCCCCCCATCACCGCTACTCACCGCCATCACCACCATGAGCACCCGCCGCTACGCCCACTACACACACACACACACATACACATCATGATGAGCGTTCACTGGTGTTCTTATTGCTGAGGTGACGTTAAAATGGCTCCAATCCTAACAAGCCTTAACTTAAATAGGCCTCTACCTAACCTAACTGGTATGTGCTAGAACTGGGACCTATTTTGATTGAGTCCCGTTAGGATATGTTATGGCCTCACGGAGATTAATTGATATGAGTAAACATTCAATCAGTCTTTCAGTCAGTCAATTTATCAATCAATCAGTCAATTAGTTTGTCAATCAGTCAGTAGATAAATAAATAATTCACCCCACATACTTTTAAATGACGCCTTCTCCTCTACGTCAACAACACCTCCACTTCCCCTCTCCCCTCCCTCACGTCATCAACTCCCCCCTCCCCCCATCTAACCTCCTCCAGGTAACATACACAGTACTAGGGTGACGCCTTTGCTTGTAAGGGCCGTGAGCCAAGTGACCGCCGCTCCGTGCCTCTCCACTACACCGGAAGAGTCGCTGACGACACTTAGGTTAACTGTCCCCAAGCGACGACACTGTGAACTCCTGTTTGTGAGGTTAGGTTAGGTTAGAGTAGGTTAGGTTAGGTTAGGTTGGGTTAGGTTAGGTTACGTTAGGGTGTTTAATCAGCAGGTGCAACCAGATAGGGAATAGGGAAAAACCAAATTGGCCCATTATTTGAAAAGTAGAAAAAAGTACAAAAATATATAAAAAATCTATACAACAACTTGCATTTATATAATCTAGTTGAGTTTTACGGGCCAAAAAAGTGCTATAAAAAAGAAGCAACGAAGCACAGGAAGGAAGCAGTGAGACAGGTGAACTCCCAATTAGTCCCAGGTGTGAGGGGAAGGAGGAATGAGATGAGGTGGAGGGATTGCCGATTAGTGTGTTATCTGTACTTACATATAGTATAGCTCGAGTTTCTTTTCCTGTTCGTGGCGCCATCTGTTGTTAGATTTTTTTCCTGGCTGTTTGGATTTTATTTTTGTTTTTAATTTGTTAATGAGTCGAATGGTTACCTGAAGATTCTCAAACCTAGTTCATTTCACCTTAAGATAACCCACCCTAACCTAACCTTACACTAATGATGATGATAAATATCTGACAGTGAATGTGTACAATAATAGTGAAGTAGTATGGTGCACGAGTATGGTGACTTGAGGATGAATGTGTAACCTCAGTCTTTCACTATTTCGGGGCGGTGAAAGCTGACAGACAGAAAGTGAATTATGGTGACAGGAAGGTGAAAAGATTGGCTGAGTGACTAACAAGACAGACAGACAGGTAGACAGATAGACAGAGAGGACATGCCCGTATAGAAACACTTTTTTTGTCCAGATGGTGAAAGTGCATT